ACTTTTGCACTGTAATTATCAATAGCACAAAGTAATTACCAGTAAATTAGACTTATAACTCAAAAGTAGCTAAGATTATTACGAATGTAAATCTTTGGAGAACAGATTCAACATAACATGATGAGAAGCTAGCCAAAATGCCCAGCAACTAGTAAAGGAAAAGAGACGTGAACTGCCTATTGTCTCCGAATATCAGTTTATAATAATTCCATTATATTTCATTATTGTACTGTATTCTTATGAGGGAATTGTTTATTACAGATCTAAACAATTCTTGGCATTTCAAAACTATTTCTTGGTTAGTGAAATCCCTACTTCAAATGCCTGAAATGAGGAGAGAACACACTGTTTTGCATGGTTAGAGTAGATGTCTGTGTTTTCTAGTGGTGATATTTGTGATATGTATGGTAAAAATTTTGCTTAGGACTTTATGGATCAGGTGGCTGTGGGTCTTATGGTGGATTGGCAAGTATTTAGAAATCTGGGACTATTGTAATTTTTTGAGGTTGGACAATAATAGTTTGTTTATATATATAATTCTAGTCAGCAGACACTTGTAACATGGAAGTAAAACTTTGTACATATCGTATTGTTGAAAATTAGAAATTTTTCCAACTAGGATAAACTACTCTGATGCATGGTTGTACGCTTTTTCTGGGTCTTCGTTTGTAATTCATATATTTCTAGTATTTTTATTATTATTTTCATTATTGGCTATTATCATTTCAGCATCACCAGCTTTTTCTAGCATGATCATTGCTTCAGAAGTGTAATCAATTTTCATCTTGGAAGTGGTATCATTCAAACCATAGTACAATTATTTTTAAGTAAATGGATTGTTTCTAATGATTACATGTCAGAAAAATCAACTTTTTTTTTTCTTTTTACTTTAAGGAGCTTTCAATGCCATTTTATTTTCAATTCCACAATCTCATACAATTCATGAGTTACTGGGCAAGAGCGAGGATTACATTTATTTTGCCACATAAGGATGGAGGGAAATGAAGTATTAGTAGTTTGGTTATGTTTGATTAGCTTTTGATTGATATTCAAAAGACACCTACAGTGGCTTTTAAAATGGGTCTTTTATTTGTGATTATATATACAGATATATATATATTTTTTTTCTGTCCAAATCCTCTTCATTTTCGTGATCTATGATGGTTGGCCTACATTCTGAAGTCCAACAGAAAAGCATAACATTGTCAAATATTTCACACTCCAACAAAGGCCAGCAAACTTCTACCACTTACATTCTGGCAAGATATGGCTTGGCTAATCTTTATGGTATGGACACACTAAGCTAGGGCAAATTAAAGATGTTATTCTTGTAGAGAACAAAAAGTTATAGTCACCAGCACAAGAAAGGATTTGAAGACACAGATGGTAATGCCACAATTAAAGGTAAAAGATCATGGAAAGTGCTGCTCACAGCCTAAGTCCACTCAGTCCTCCTGAGTTTCAGCTCTATCTGGCCATGGATGAAGAGGTGAAGACAACTTATGCTAGGAGAGCTGATGGCAGGCAGAGCTCCCCTTCAGTTCTCCCCTCACTTCCAGGAATGACACTTTAGATTGTTGAATAAAGTTTGGGATGTGGAGTAGGGGACTCTGGCACATGTGTCCTTTTTTTTTTTCTTTCTTTCTTTCTTTCTTTTTTTTCCTTTTTTTTCTTTCTTTCTTTTTTTTCCTCTTTTTTCTTCTTCTTTTTTCTTTTTCTTTGTCTTTGTCTTTTCTTGTCTTCTGTCTTCTGAACATGTCATCATATATTGCTTCTTTTATGATCACGATCATTATATTTTGGTGAAAGTAATTTTCATTATCATGACCACTATTAGTGGTTAGGATTTTTTTAATATTGTTGTTGTCATAGTTATTATTGTTATTGTTGTTAGTTAGCTTTTTATTGTTGTAATTATTACTGCAATTGTTATTATATTATAGTTATATCTGAGGATACTTTAAGTATATAGAAAAATTGCTTCATTTTCTCTGTAAATCCATAAAAATGATATTTTGGCTGTTGCCAAGACAGTAAAGAATGTTATATATAAAGTGATGAGAGACATTTAGAGTCATGAATTTGATCTGTGATGATAATTTATATACTAAGTTGTTTACTTGTGTATGTTTAATGATTCATACAATTTTTTTATGCCATTATTGTTTGTTATTACCACTATTGCTACTCAACTTCAAACAGAAAACATACTTAGTTGCAGGAGGATGGTGCGCGTTATTTCCGTGCACCACTTCACACGACAGGATGTGGCAGGACTTGAGCATGCAGGGGGAAGAGGTGTCAGTCGAGGAAAGTTTGACATCCTGCTGGTGGGAGGAGAACACAAGGTGGATGTTCGAGACCTGAAGCTAGGTGGAGTCCTCAATGGAAGCTTCCCGACAGTGGATCTTGTTCAACAGCTGGCTTACTGTGAAACAGGTAAGCGGAGGGAACTTTTGGAGCAGAGTGGGGATGTGAGGTGTCAATAAATGTGTAGCATATGATGTGATTTTTACTGTAAATCTCAGGAAAGAGTGTATGAAATATTTGTTTTATGCTTTTTTCAATTTGGTTTTATTACTTTTAAAGGAAATTATGTGTGTACCTTGGAGACCAAGCCAGCTCGACATGGGGGAGACCACAGGTATGTGAGGGTGTACCTGAATTGGGATCAGGACAACACAAATCAGCCAATGAGGGCTCGTATTGCTGGCCGTGTCACTCCTAGCAGCCAGTCTGGGGTTGCTAACTTGGAGATGGTGGAAATACCCCTACGTAAACCGGCAGAATACATTGCTTGTTGCCAGTCAACAGGCAACATTGCTGTTTCATGTGGAATAAGTGTGACCATCTTCAGGTTCTGCCACAAGACCCATGATATCTCCAAATTGAAATTCATTGACTTCGAAGAGCTCATCGAGCTGGACATGTCTTTCATTGTCAAAGAAGTAGCCATATCGGAAGATCTGATTGGCTGCGTCTCAGAATCAGAAGCACATATATTTCAGGTGACAATAAACTCACATCTTCTCAAGGCATCCTCAGAGGAGAAGGAGACTAAGCCACAGGAAAAGAGGAGCAAGTCCCGCTCTAAGTCTAAGACGCGATCGGCCTCTCGGTCCCCAGGAAGAAGCATTGACTCTCTCAGTTCAAGCAGCAGACTGAGGGGTAAGCGCTCCAGTCCAAAAGAGGTGAGGCTCTATTTTTTTTTTTTTTTTTTTTTTTTCTTCTTTTTTACTTCTCATTTTTATTTTGACAGAGGAAAGGGATTATAGAAGTGCATTATATTCTTGTTATTGGAGAAATTACAGGCTAAGTTTTTTTTAGTAATATATTTGATATTTTACAAAATAATTTCATCTGTGCCAGATAGTACAAAGATATATGAATTTTGTGAATTAAAAATACACATTTAAAATACATTTGAATTATTTATAAATCATCACCACATCAAAGGTAGTTTCTGTGCCACATAACATACATTTCATTCACATACAGGAATCTATGAGTGTCATCCGCAATTCAGAGGACTATGTAGACCTCAGTGAACTGACCTGGGTCCCAACATTGTCCTATGGCCGCAAGAAGCCCTCTGAGGACCAGCGCATCTTGCTCTTTCCATCACTTGTGGGGGCCGCACACTGTGGGCCTTTGGCTGAGCCAGGCGAGATCATCGGCCCAATCAAGTAGGTGCTGAGCCTTTTTACTCTGATGAGTAAAGAGCATAAATGTGGTGTTGTTTTCCCTGTCTGTTTCTATGACAGACGGAAGGAATTAGAATCTGGCACTATCATTAAGTTGGATTTTGTTATTTTCATTATTTACAGTTTTTATAATTTCATATTATTTTCTTCCTTTTTTTTTTTTGTATATTTAGCGAATGTTTATTTAGATATGTTAAATATTTTTTTTGTAGTATTGTCACCATAATGCACTCTGAATAAATGAAAGAATGATATCTGTTATTACCTTTATATGTATTATTTTGATTACAGTTCTTCACGTTGCTCTAACGTTAGGGTGAAGTTAGTGAGTGGAAGTTCAGCTCAGAAGGTGCCTCAGAATGTCTTTGAAGCCGTGACACTCATTCATCGCCGAGCAGATCACAATAATGATCCAGACATTCCATTTTCCAACCTGAAGGTCATGGCTGTTTATGATGCTGAGGCAGGAAAGAAAGGTATATGGTCACTCATTTTCTTTTAGTAGTAGTTTTGCTTTAACAGGTATCAATGATATGACCTCAAATACAGTAGGAACATGATCTTAGATTATGCTTATTAAATGATATCCTTTTCCATAGGCGGTGCTTCTACTCCAAGACGAGCATCACATCCCTTGCTCCCTCAAGGCTCAGCCAGAAAAGTAGGGGCTTCCATTTTCCTGACAACACCTCATGTGGGCCAGCTTTATCATGTCACGCTGTCTGATGATCCCTTTGGTGAGTTTTTTTTGTTTTTTTTCAAGTTTAGGCTTTTATGGATGTAAAGCATTGGCTTCATATATTCATAAGGTTTTATTTGGTCATTGATATTAGGTTCATGCAATTAACTTTATCTTTTTCATGCATTTTAAGATTTTCTGTATAATATTATTATGAAAAAAACATAATTACATAAGGTCTCCTTTTTTAATAATGCCTTCAAAAAAGAAATGAATCCAATGCCTTGGGGAAAAAGTGTTCACTTTTGTATTGTTTTGTAAAAGTCACTGCACATAGAAGGCTCTGCCTGTGCTTAGCCACAAAGATGTCAATTGCTAGACTTGTGACCTCACCTGATTTCACCTTTCCTTGAGGATGCAGGAAAAACACTTACTTTTAGTTATGCTGTCAATATTGATACTGTTATTTTCTTTTTATAAACATCAAAATTACCATAGTGTTCTTGACATTACTAACAGCAGTATTGTGAATACCAGAAAACATTATCAAAAATCAAGAAAAAGGGTAAACAGGTGAGACAGGTAGTTCTTGTAATTGGCTCATTGATGATGGAGTACTTTTAGAGCCATCTAAGTGTAAAATCAATTACTAAATCAAACACAGTGGGCATGGCATGTATGCACATGCCATCCTCAGTGGTATGTGGATAATTAGTTCATCTTAACTCCCTCATCTCACTTTGGATCTGTTATCAGGGCACAGTGTAGTCCGTGGTGGAGTATTTTCATACACAGCGCCTGTCTACTCTGTGGCCTTGGAACCATCGCTCTTGCATGCGCTTACACTCACTGGCCTTGAAACATACACATTAAGGCCTCATCCACATGTCGTTGTCTCTCATTTACCTGAGGATCTGAATATGATTGTAAGTATTGTTAGGTTATTTGACTAAAGGTAATATGATAAGATGATTCTTAATTGATAGTGATGATTATTGTCTTGATTGTTTTTATTTTATTTTTTTATTTTTTTATTTTTTTTCTTAGTAGATATTATCTCTCCTTTTTGATTGTGATCAGTTTTGTAGTAAGGATATCATGTTATATGCTGAAAACTTATAGTGGTGAAACTGTGTTCTGGATATTATTTATAGATGTACACCTTACATAAATAATATTTACCAGGTTCCTCCACACTGGGAAGAGACAGTGTGTCTAGTGGGTCTACGACCTTTCCTTAACGTTGAAAGCTTGACCTTGACCGATTCCTGTCTTGCACTCATTGCTGCAAATAATGAGTGAGTGTTACTTTTATTATATCATGATTATTTTTTTGTATTCCATTTAGACATTGGTATCCATTATAAGGGCAGATTTACTTTTCAAACCATAAACTCTTCTGTTTGGTAGAAAAACCCACAATGCATAAACTAGATTTTCATGTTTCATATATAGTCTATTGTATATATGTTGCTTGTTAGTTGTTAATTTGAAATTGATAGCATGTGCAATTTTGACATTGATAACATAGAAGCTGATCATTTCACAGGGTTTATAATTTCTGTAAGAATAAGTTAGTGTCTTTCAGTAATAGATATGAATATTACAGATATGTATTACGCATACTGTATTTTTTTATATATTGTTTTAATAAGAGATGTTTTCTTCTATAGTTTTAGATATACTTTTTCACTTTTTTAAATGATAATCCCTATAAGACAAACTTAACACATTTTCAGAGGTGGAGACAAATCCCACACTGTTTACTCACTTCACCTCCCGAGTGCCGCCAGCCTCTACAAAGAGATGGTGCGAGTTGGACGTAGCCATAGGTCTGCCTCCCCCTCTACCTACCTGCACCTGCTCCTTGAGGCTCACCTAGTCCTTACCACCGCCCTCCAGCATGAAGTGCCAACAGAGGATGAGGCAGAGGAGGACCTGTACTCTCTCTTACAGGATTCATCTGCATTATTGGGAGATTATTATGCCCAGTGGGTAGTCCTTTTGCATGTCATTATATTATGCTATTTCTTAATTTTTTCATTTGACTATTTTTTTATTATTTATGTATTTTTACAAAGTGTTTGTATCTATATTTACTTTGCAAGACCCTTGTATTAAGTTAATTTGATATGAGTACTTTTTATTTTTTCCTGGTATTATGAACTTAAATCTTTCATTACTAAAAACATATCAGGTAGCCTTTGGAAATCATATGACTGTAATGGCATTGGTCTTTTCATTAGGTTTCATATAAATTACTTCAGCAGTAGTACCTCTTCAGATATTGAGATTTCTTCTTGTTCTGCCAGTGTCAGTCATCCCTTTATGGATTACTGGAATGACATCCCAAGAAATTAATACAAAACCATTTTCCAGATGTGAGAATGAAGCAGAGTGGCGTCAAGCAACACAGTATTACCAGGTATCCAGCCTGAGTCCAGATGCAGTGATTGAGAGACTCGAACTCACCTGCCCTGGTTTGGTTGCCGTTATCTCCTCTCTCTTGCTACACCCTAATACTCCATCATTAACAGCTGCACAGGTAGATGAGAGTTTCTCTTGTTTCATGGTTATTCTGTTCCCTATTATTCCCCATGTTCCGTTTTATTGGTTATTGTTTTGTGAATATTGTTAATCTGTTCTCTATGCAGTGAAACTTGAAAGTACTGTTTGTTAATATAGGACTACCTTTTAAAAGTGACTTCTGTAGGTTATGTTAGATTATCTGGTTGTATAGTTTTTGTAATCAGTCTTCATTGGGATACACATTTTAACTCCTTTTGGTTAATGACAGTGCTTTAAGTGGTTGAGAAATTTAGGAGATAGTCATCCATTTAGGAGTAAGATATAAATGCATGAAATGTAGTGATTAAACATTTTCTAGTTTTTTAATTTGTACCATGAAATATGAATCCTCAGTATATAACAAAAATAAAAAGTTAAACAATATTTTTTTAGAGAAAAGATATTGCCAGATCATCAGGTGCTAGAATATAGATAAAAACAATTTATTATATAAAAAAGAATAATTGAAAGGAGAATAACAAACCTATTAAAAATATATATCAGAAAAAAATAATAAAAGGATAATAATTCATTGTTACCAGATATATGTACTGTCCATCACAGTTTTGCTTACTTTTTTTCTTCTTCTTCTTCTTTGTCCTCTTTTCCAAAACTCTTAGCCACCAATTTATTTGTTTTACCTGATGTCACATGTAGTCCATTCCTACAATTTTCAGTAGAAGCTTTCTCATTTTCCATTATTGCTTTGATAATTGTTCACCAAATGAACATCTATCCCATGACTGGACTTTTTTCTAGGTGGCTCGTACATCCATAAATTTCACTGTCAGACTTTTATATGTTGTATGAGCTAAAAAGATGTTTGTTTATTAGACCCTGCAGTCATTGAGGAGTTACAGCCCCTCAGTGGTAGGCTTAAAGTTTCTTTTTAGCCTTATTTCTTTGAAGGTTGTGTATACACAGCCAGTAGCAGTGAGTGGGATAGGTATATAATTCCAGTGCTTCTGATATTTTACTCAAACAATTGACTGCTTGCAGTGCTTTACATATGGCCCAGCAGGGGGAAGTATTACTATTATCATTATGTTATTAGCTCACTCGAGCAGGTGACATCTAATCATAATATAGTGAATCAGACCCAAATAGCGAGTAGCAAGCAGCTATGTTATGTGCAAATCTTTTATATTGTGTGTGCTAAACAGGGGTTCACTTGTTTGGCCCAGATTATGGTCATTAAGGAGATACAGCCCCTCAAAGATATACTTAACTCCCAAAAATTACAACTCCCCAGTTTATCTGTCCTCTACCCCCCAATCACGAAAGAGGCATGTTTTTTTAAAGTTTTGTTAAGGCAAATTTTAGCACAGTCATGTATATCAGAGTATGGATATTTCATTCCATATCTCAAAATTTTAATGTCACTTGATTTAAAAATTGAAAAAAGTTATCACAGTGAACCTTTGCATGTGAATGAAAATTTGGACAGATTGCTTATGAATATGTAAATAAGACATTTGATATGATTTTTTTCTCATATATTTCATTAAAATGTATATTTAGATGTATTTAAAACTAATGAGATGTATTGATAGTAAAAATACCAATAGCATACCAGAATATAACTGATACATATTAGTATAGTGCATGGAAAGGGAATGTGAGAGAGGATTTAGGGTCTGGCTGGATGAAATATGATATGTAGCACCAGAATTACTACACACTCACTACATTTCATTCAGAAGTGGCAGGAAAACACAACTAAGTGATTGGCTCAGTCAGAGAATTTACAAGGGGAGTAAGTATGGCTGGGGTGATATAGAGGTTGTGTCTAACAGAACCTCCCCAAACAGGACCAAATATATATTAGTGGACACTTGATACATCTCATTCATAAAGAAAAAATCAGAGAAAATCCTGCCAGTATTTGCTCAGCTTTCAACAGTTGTGATGGATGCAATTGTAACCATTTTGTAATAAGCCATGATCATGGTAAATAGGACCTTATGAGCTAAAGTCTCATTTAATCCTCATTCTTAAAAGATCAGGTATGCCAGTCAAAAGTGTGGAGACTGGAGTAATGTATGTCTCCTGCACTTCTAATGTTTTACTTGAGTAGCTGACTGCCTGTGAAGCCCAGCACAGGGAAATCTTTTCATGAATAGGTTAACAGTGATAATAACAGTAGAAGGGAAAACTACTCTTTCTGTAAATTCAAGGAATAGGGTAAGGAGGTTGTTAGTTGAGCCTAATTGACTCTTTGGTTGCTAAGTGCTTGTGAAATCTTTTGTTTAAACACAATTAACAAAACAAAACCACAGTGGACAGTATACATGCATTTCCTTCTCAACAGGTAAATAAAATCTTCTATGAAATTATATTATAAAAGGGAGGGAAAGACATTTTTTAAAAATCCGAAGATACTAATACAAGTTCATTGGTGTTTCCCATAGGCTAATTGTGTGCTGGAAATGCTGGAGAAAATAGCACCAGAGAAAGTTTCAACTATTATTCTCAAGTCTACATGCTTTACAGAGTACAAGAAAGATAAGGTAGTGATGAGGAAGTTTTGTTTGTAAACCTGAAATAGAATTTACACAAATAACCACATTTTGCCAATGATTTAGGTGAACTTTTTGGTCTGGTTCATTGTAATGTATATTGAATATCAATAGCATAAAAAGCAAATACAAAGTTACTCTTTTCTCTATTTGACTGATTTCATGCTCCCACATTTTGCAGGTGCTAAGCATAATCAAGCAAGAGTTATCCAAGACAAATGAGCCACGACCCACGGATGTGCTAGCTCTTGCCCTCGTCTTTTTGGACAGGGGATCTCCTGAACAGGTAGGGTAGGATCCATAAGTATGAGTTGTAACACAACATGGAATATTGTTCAGAAAAGTATGTAATGTATCTTATCATTATAAATTCTCTTTCTTTCTTGCTAGGTCTCAACTGTTTTAGCTTCACTAAGAGCCTATCAGCTTGTTGTGGCTTTGCTGCAACACTCACGTCTTCTATTCACAGTTGAGGATGGATCAACCAGGCTCTCACCTTTAGCACAAGTATGTGTATTGACTGTAGTATATATGAATGATTGAGTGAAGCTTAGTGTTAGTTCACTTCTTTACTTAAGACACAAAAAAGTTTACTGCTGTACTGTACATTGATTATTACTCTTGTACCTATTTTGAAATGTGAATAGAATGGCTATGTTATATATGTTTTTATTAACTTTTAGGTTTACACTCTTTGAACCTGTGGTATATATCATTGCTTAAAATTTAAAAGCATAAGCATTTTATGAAAATTGGAATACAGCAGACACCAAGAACATATGATTTCTGTGCTAAGTCTCTTCCTTTTCTTATAGGTTTTAGCAGAGCACAAGAAAGAAGTTTTCACCGAAGTATTTGTGTCTCTCATTGGTGAAGGGTCACTCACTCTTAATGCCTTTGTTGATGCATTCATAGCTGTTTATCCCATTATGTCATGTGGGCCAGAGTGTAACACCCATTCTCTTCGTCTGCGAGATTTCCTTGAAAAGTTCTTCTTGGAGTATGCACATAATGCTGAAGTGAGTAATTGTCAAAGTCATAATAAAAAAAAATAGAATAAACCAGTGATGAGGACATATAACATATGTCTGTATGTATATACATATTTACAGACATAAATTTGTATAAATAAATAAAGTACAGCTGTCATCTTCATATGAGGGTTCTAATTCCTTCTTTATATGGCAGATTACAGATCAGAGGGAGAGATATGACAGGGCTATCACAGTCCTTGTTAGCCTCTATCTAGCCAGCTTGATGGGTGCTTTCGGTGATAAAGTAAGTCAGTGTTTGAAACATTTGAATAACAGGATAACACATCATTGATGTATAATGTAACATAAACAACTTGATATGGTATAAGTTAAACAGTGCAACATAACAGTAATAGTATAGGACAAAATATAAAGCTCTGCTCATTTTTAGCTTAATTTCAGATGATTGTTACATTGAAAGGACATGAAATTTCCATTTATATACTAACAGAGGTTATTTACTTTTAAGTTGTGGTATTTCATTATCAGTTTTAGTGCTCACAGTTTTCTCTTCTCATCACCAATATTATTAAAATATTATTTTGGCAAAATTTCCACCACAGTATTTGCTAATTTTGTAATATCCATATTATGATAAGTATTATCATCATTAATGATATTTCTGTTACTTGCATTATTTTTTCACACCTTAACTTCTATTTTCATATTTCCTTTGTATTTCAACATCAGACCAAGGAAGACCCCAACTGGTGTGACCAACGTGCTGCATTGAAGGAACTCTATGCTCCTCGACCAGTCTTCCTCAATCTGTTGCCACCATTCAATGTGCAAAAGAAAATAGAGAAGGAGGAGAGCCAGAGTGATAAACCAGAAGGGCAGTCAAGCCCAGGACAGGAAGAGGAGGAGGAAGAGGAAGAAGGAAGTGGCAACCTTTCTTCTTCTTCTTTGCATCTTGTTGTTCTCCAGGTAGAATTGCTTTCTTCTCTCTTTTTCTTACTCTTATTTTTCATTTCTTTTCTTTTTGCTGTGTCATTTGTTAGATTTTTTGTTTATCTTCTCTTTCATTAATGTCAAACATGCTTATTAATATTCATACTCAATAGACTGTGGCCCTCTTTGAGACTCGTACTTCTAAGAAAGACCATTATTGTACTTACATCTTTAATGTGCCTCTATTTTCTAGTCTCTGCTGAGTTCAGATTTGCCATCTGCTGAAGATCGTAACAATGTCCTCAAGTTTGTGACATCGAACCCTGAGGCTCTGGGAGCCCAGTCTCTCCGGATTCTGTGCCTCGACCCACAGAAGCAGCTGGAGTATATACTCAGTGAATTTCCTCCAGTGCTTCTTCAGTATGGAAAGGCAAGTGGTTGTTGGATTTCATAAGGAAGGAAAAGAGAAAATTATAAATAGATTTGAAGTATAGAAATATTATATACATATGGACTTACACATTTTTTCCCCTTGATTTGTATTACTCTGTTGATTGTATGTTCTATTTCTATAATTTGACTGAAACCTACCCATTTCTTTCATTTTAACAGCCAAATTATAAATCCATATATATGACATTCAAATATATAGATAGATAAAGATATGGATATAGGTATAGATACACATTTTTCTATTTATATACATATATAGACATATAGACATTATACATACATATACAAATACGCACAATGCACATATACATTTATATAAATACATATGTATGTATGTGTGTGCTATATATATATATATATATATATATATATATATATATATATATATATATATATATATATATATATATATATATATATATATATGCAGTCAAAACTGCATGTATATATATTAGCGGTCACCTTTGCATTGCAACCACTTGGCCATTGTGGTCACTTTTGTCGGTCCCTTGGATTTGTCCCATATATATATATATATATATATATATATATATATATATATATATATATATATATATATATATATATATATATATATATATTTTATTTATTTTTATATTATTTATTTTTTTTCTATAGCGGTCACCTGTCCATAGTGGTCACATTTGGTCAGTCCTTCAAGAGACTGCTATAGACAGGTTTGACTGCATTTGTATATATGGATATGTATACAGACACACACATGCACATATAAACTTAGCTTGTCTTCAGGATAGTGTAATATTAATAACTACTAGTTGTGAAATCTAATGGACTTGTGCCTACTTGCTTCCTGATTTTGTTTCATATATTACATGAATATTTCTCTCCCTAGGATATGTATGAATCAGCAGCCGAATGGGAGGAATTAGTTTATAAGCTGATCAACCACAAATCAAGCTTGTGTGAATCAGACCCATCGTATTCAGTGTATTCTGATGTTTTGAATGGTAGGTAAAAGGCTTATAGTCTGATTATTGTTATTGCTTTTACTTTTGTATTTGGAGTAGAGTTGAGTTTAGTTTTGGCGTTTGCTTTCCGTGTTTAGATTAGAATCTGGTGTTTTATTACGTGATTATATGTTGTTACATTTATGAATAGTGCATAGATTATTGAAAATGTTTGTAGCTCCACTAAAGAAGTATCAACTTTGAATACATGTCTCTCAGTAAAAAATTCAGATAGTCCATAAGGTTCTCATATGCACCTTTACCTCACCCACTTCCCACAGATGTTCTGAGTGAGCTGGTGATGACTGCACCTCTTGATGTCTTCATACGCATAATCCCCAAGAATCGCCATGAAGAACTGCGTGGTCACATCCGGCAATGCCATTCAGCCGCCTTGGCACTCCACCTGCGCTCTTCGCTAATTTCTTATGCCCACAATGTATTAATGCAAATGTCAAAGTGAGGCAAACACAAATGCATTTTTAACCCAATGCCGACGGGAAAATGTTGCGTTCACTTTAGTATTGTTTTGTTAAATGTTTCTGTACATAGATGGCTCTACCAGTGCTTAGCTACAAAGGAGTCAATTAGTAGATCTTGTGACCTCACCTTTCCTTGAAATAGAGGGAAAAAGATTTTTTTTTTCTTTTTCTTTTTTTAACTAATGTTATCAACATTGACACTGTTATTTTTGTTATAAACATTATATTACTATTTTGTTATTGACATAACTAACAGCAGTGTTAAACACTAGAAAATATCATTGAAAATTAAGGAAAAGGGTAAACAGGTGAGACAAGTAATTCCTGTAACTGGCTCATAGGTGACTTTGTACTTGTGGAGCCATCTGTATATAAAAACAATTACTAAATTAAACAAACATTGGGCATGGCATTGACGCACATGGCATCCCCAGGGGTATGTGGTTAAGAAACAGTAAGTGGTGAAGTGCATGTGAAGCACAATGCCATAAAAGACAGAGCTTTAAAAATTATTTTGTTTGTTTTATTTATTTTTATTTGACTTTTCCTTCAGTATTTGTCAAACTTTGTCTCAGTACTTTATTTTTAAGTCCAGATTATTATTGCTGTTAATATGATTGTTATTATAATTGTTATTTATATCTGATCAGTGTCATTATTATATATGTGCCAGTAAAGATTTTAAGTTTAACATTGTTATGCATTCTTAAAGTGCCAATTCTTAAAAAAAGTTCTATGTAGTAGGATCCCTTTTTTCATATGTAACTTTTTATTATGTAAAGATCTCATTTTGTTTCCTTTTGAATGTCTGTTCTGTATGGAAACTATTTATGTATCTGTAATAGTCAGATAAAATGGGATTTGTGTGTGTGTGTGCATGCGTGCATGCGTGCTTGCCTCTATATATATATATATATATATATATATATATATATATATATATATATATATATATATATATATATATATATATATATATATATATATATATATATATATGTAATGCATGCATGTAAGTATGTATGTATGTAAAATTCTGTACAATTCTTATATATATCACAGCTGTTAATGATTAACCTATTGGCTCTGGTTATAGTGACATACATGCCATGATTGTTTTTGGCCTTGCCTCTGAGTGGTATGCAAGGCTGCTCTGTTGTATGTGCTAAACAGTCATGCACTTTGGCTCTATATGCAATCATTGAAGAGATCCAGCTCTCTCTTTCAGTTTCTTTAAACCTAAATCAGTAATTTAAGAGTCAAATTTACAGAAAGCAGAGGGAAAGTATACATCCTCTCTTTCAGATATTTAACATGCATACACATAGAGGCTGGCCCATTTTGGCATGCTTGTCCTTGGAGGCAGTGTGTTAATTTTTATTAGACTAACAGAGAGTATTTAACTAGATGTCATAGGCTAAGGGACTTGGACACTATTCTAACGGGTATTCTATTCATTTTATCATAATGAAAAATTTGGTCACCAATCAATGAATCTATCTATGCATCTTTCATAGAAAAAAAGAAAACACAGCTGATTGTCCATATTTTTGTTTTTGTTGTTTAAGGACTCTTAAAAAATGTTTCCATGACAAACCTGGTCTTATTTATTGAAAGTAAGTGTAGTGTCTGATGGAAATCAGCACATATTTAGATTTATTTTCATTAAATGTTATATATTGAAGAAAGAGTAAGTTCAAAAAATGGGTTACTTGGCCAATATTGATATAAAGTTAGATTTAGGTTGCCACAAAATACTCTATTGTATGAAGCGTGTGGCCAAACTAAGTGAATGAACCACAAATATCTTAAAATACTCTTTAATGTTGTATTGAGGGGAAAAAGAAGAGGAAAAGTGGAATTGATAAATCAGTTTTTTATGTCTGAAATGGACAAATGATTTCATTCTAAATATTTGTCAGAAAAATAAATGTGAAGTCTCTAAAACATAAAATATTTTCATTACAAATTTATGTATAATATATTAATTATACTTTAATTTTTTAATATTCTTTTAAGATGGTTTTTGCAATGAAAATAGACCTTGATGCCTAATTTGTGCCTAAACAAACCCTATGTTCACCTTTGATTATAATTATGATTGCCTAGACAAGGCAAAATAAGAATAACAATAATATATAGATCTGTACCAAACAGCTTTAATATTTCTAGTTGGTTCTGTAATATATATATATATATATATATATATATATATATATATATATATATATATATATATATATATATATATATATATATATATATATATATATATATATATATATATATATATATATATATATATATATATATATATATATATATATATATATGGGTGCAATTAATAAGTTACATGTGATACTTTCTTTTTGTTTTGTTTGACTGTCATTTTTATTATATCCAATAAAATACTGAGTTTACTCAAAACAAGAATAATGGTTTTATTAACAAGAAAGTGAAAACAGAGATTTTAGGGTACAGTATATACTGATGTAGTATTCATAATATTAACTAGCTTAAATTGGTGTGTTAGTTTCATAATATTTTAATGTAAAAGATAAGAAGTAATTAATAAAGGAGATAGAAAAATATCTCAAGCCATGTTTATTGTCAGCACAGAATTTCCGGCCATTATAGCTATGACAAAGTTATTCAAAGTGGTTTGTTGGGCATCCTTGACAATAAAAAACACGACTGATACAAGAAAATACCTTGAACAACAAACAAAAACTGGAAATAATAAGGATAAGAATAATTCATATTTATTTAAAATCAACTGGTTTTCCAATGATTACAACAATATATATATTTTCTTCTTTTTGTCAGATTAACATATGTTTTAGTTCTTCCTAAGAAAAATATTCTTCTATTTAACAATTTAGAAAGAAGGGCAATGATCAATACATATTTTCATAAGTGAACAGTACTCCTTGTATATTGAAGAGTAAAATCAACAATCCAACTACACTATCTGTAACATAACCTTTCACAAGATCAGTTCATAAAAATGCCACACAAAAAATCCTTCATTTCACGCCAGTAATGGCCAAACCATTTTTTGTTACTATAGTACTGATGATAAGACTTAATCCTTTATATTTGTGAAATCAATCAAAGACCAGAACATTCAGAAAGGTAAGGTAGTTCTTATTCTCCAATATAATTAGTAATATGCCAATGACTGCACAATATTACAATGCCTACTACAACCTTTTTTGTTTGAACTGTGAGGTAAATAAATATATCTATCTTCATCAATTGGATTTCTAAATGATGTTGAATGGTGCACAGTGAGTTAGACAACTTAGCGTTAATGATAATGTCATATGAGTGAGATACTGAAACCATGCAACGTGGATGCTCTTGAGTATCATCATTTCTAATAAAATCTACATTACCCGTTATCATTATTATTATCATTTTGAAAAGTATTTTGTAGACTCAGAGAAGGAAAAATCATTAAGAGAAATTGGTAACCTGCAAGCATTCAATTACTTCCTAAAACTTCAAACTGTAAAGTGAGACAAAATGGTAACTATCCACAAAATCATTGTAAAATATCAAACCTACAGAAGGGTATGGTGTATAAATATGATTTTAAATTTCTAACTTACTCCAAGCAAAGAATTTATTTGATAGTGAATCAGAAAAAAATGTCAAATGGTGAAATGTACATCTGAAACAACCCCATGGGTGAAAAACAGAGGGTGACACAACACAACTAAGAAATAACATCGTTACGGGTCATTGCTCTCCTCCTCACTATGCCCCTGATGTGGTTCTTCATCTCCATGTTCTCGTTTCTGCTTTTTGGCATGGATGTCTGCAAGGGCTTCTTCAATTGTCCTTTTGTCTTTCTTCAACTCACTTCGCACTATTAGGAAAAAAAGGTCAATACATTAATTATCATTTTGAAAAGAAAAAGTCTCAAGTATTTTGCACACTCAGAGAAGAAGAGGAATTGGTAATAGATCTGACCTGAATTCTCCTTTCACAGATTCATACTGCTAATATGCTTAAACATTATGGCAGAAAAAGCTTGACTAGAATTATCTCTTACTGACAAGGTGGTCAATTTTAACCTGAACATAGGCAGTCTTCTTCCTTCCCACTTACTCGGACACCTTTCTCATTGACCATCCTAATCTACTCATAAAATAGGAGGGAGAGGGTGAATACTT